GTAATTTGCAGCGTGGTTTAAGGAGACCAAGGATGATGTTCTATGGACTCAGATTGTTGTCAATGGCTGCAGAACTATAAGAAATTGAGTATTATGTAGTATTGTTAATTGGGAGACGTGAAGGGAGGTTAAGAGGTAACAATGGGGAGGTAGATATCAGTCTGAGGAAACTTGAGTGCTGACAGAGTTGTGAGGGCGACTGATACTTCCCGGCTGCCCACACCATGGAAGGCTATTTCTTCTTAAAGTGCCTGAAAGAGATTTGCGTTAAAGGAGAGCACATCAAATATCTGCTTGACGCCTGTCACACCCAGCCTCTTGAGTATGATTATTTTGTTTTTTTATATTTTTGGGGCCAGATGGTGGAAAAGAAACGACAAGTGAACCAACACCGCCGTGGGGTATGGTGGAGTGTGATATTTTTGGGGCCGACCTTTTCTAACCATCTCCCCCTTCCAATGACAATGCAACATCAGCATGGTACTGCTGGTCATGCAAGGGGAACACCTTACTGCTGTCACACCCCATCCAGCTAGCAGCAGTACGACTTCACCCTCAGACCCCCATCGAAGTGTAGCAATTTACACTACAGCGGTAATTGCTTTTCGACTAACCACTATCCAACAGACCTTTCTGGTATAGTAGGACCTCGAGGGAACAAGCGTTCCACTAGCATAGCTCGTTGGGTCATTGTGATATGCAAGCCATGTCAAAGTAGCAGCTACCGGTCGAGCTACTGATATACATACTTGTAAGTGGCTTTCATTACAACATGATACATATCTGAACAAATTTATGATTCTTAAAATATTTTAGACATCTGAAGGGAGAGTTAAGAAGTATGATGAAATCAGTAAATTACGTAGAATTTATTGCCTTTGCTTTGTTTGTATTCTATAATAATTTGATGAGCCCTTAGATAATCGTTATTTGCTAGGCTTGGTTCATGGAACAGAGAGAAAAACTATTACCTCACGATTTTTTTACAAGTTTTAAACGTTTCGTTATTCTCCATTTGCTCTTCCCTATCCAGTTATTATTTTTTTTAATCAGTATAAAAACTATCCAAATATTCTGTTAAAGCGATTGTGACTTGCAATACAAGAGGTTCAGAAAAACCTTGTTTTGATTTTCTAAATACAGTGTGATTATATCAAAATATACTCTTGTAATGGTTAAATCAGATGCGGCGTTCAACTTCTACTAGGATATTCTTTATGAACATAGTCTGGATGTTTATAATCTTATCATTTGACGCTTCAAGATTTTTTCTTATTTATTTAGCTGCCTAACTGTGACACCCGAACTGACTAACATTTTATCCAACAATTTACACTTCTACGATCGTTCACTTATCTAGTTAAACTTAACATGTAGACAGAGTTAAAACGCAACTGACCTAAAGGCTTAAGTGTTCAGTGTATGATACAATCAGTAAATCCAAACTTTGACAAGTTTAATACTTAAGGTTCAACGGTGAACAGTTGGGTCTTACATCTGATTAGCCTATTGGGTATGCATTGTGAATGGAAAAGATTGCAAGTGTACTCTTGATCATATTCGGAAAAATGGGTCATAAGAAATAAAACTCAACAAGAAAGACTGCAGCTACTTTCACTTAAGATCATCAGCTGACATTCCGTTCACATTCGACCTCGTCTCCCCTCCGGTCATGATTTCTGCTGAAGAGTCCTATTTTAGAAAGAAACAGCTGTGCAGTGTTCCCACATTCCTAGCGATTCGCCAACTTTTACCACTTTATGATGAAGGTTTACTTGAAATAAATAAATCTCCAGAAATCTCGGAGTAAGGTACTGCAATGTATATAAACTGACTACAGAATCCCGGTAGGAACAACATCACTCACTGGAAGGCAGGCACATCCAGCTGACGAGTCCAAAATAGGACGAAATGCCCGTCCTGGATTCCACTGGTACCCACTACCCATCATTTCTATTGAAGAATGAAATTACGCAATGTGAAAATAAAGATCCATCGAAATCCAAGGGAAGACTAACTAACTTGCTTTCATGATTTATCTAAGGTAAAACAACTAAGCTCAGTTCAATAATGAAAAATTAAACGGGCGAAGTAGAGAAATATGCTATTCAGAGAGAAAACACAATAGGATAGCAAGGGTAAGAAAAAAAAGACATTTTCAGGTAAAATATTCACAGAAGTTAGGTCCATTGTAAGTTCAACCACCGAACAAACTTCTTTTCCATACACAGTTCAGGCTCTAAAATATGAATTGCTATGGCTTCCACAAGTTAAAGAAATTCCATTTGCACAGCTCTCATGGAATTTTTATATACTCTGTAGATTGCTCTTAAGGTAGACGTTTAGTCCACCTAGTATCCATAATCAACATAATGCTCTAAAATTGAGCTGGGAGAGGATCGTCTCTCCTACTGTGCCTTGCGAAACAAAGATAATATAAGTCAGATGCTGCGTTTAGAAAGCCAACGTAGCATGCGTCATAGGAGCCAGTTCGTCGGTCGATATGTGTTGAGAAGGCCAACATCGGTAGCTTATTACTTACGTGCAACTGAGTCACTGGTCGTGTGGAGAAAGTGAGTCAGGGATTAGCTGCTAGGAAGGTTTCTTTCAATGAACAGCACAAGGAATACTTTAACATTTTCACCGACGAGTACTCGTTCAATTGTAGGTTCAAAAAGAGCAAGTTTTCAGGAAATAGGTATCTTTGGCCTGGCTGGTTACACTTTTCAAACTTTCATAATGAAACGTTGAGTATGGTTACTGTTAATTCGAGAAATCCTATGGGACATTAGTTCTTAAGTATAAAATCACCATCAACAAAAGACGTGTAGCAAAGAGTCACTCATTTCAGCTGTATCATTCTCAAGCTGTACAGAAAAGGAATGTTTCATGATATATTTCGAACGAAGTTCACATTTACTTGGTTTCGGCTAGCAGAAGAATCCAGAACGGGTGTTACGTCCCATCTGGGACTCATCAGCTGGATGTACCTACACTCCAGTGAGTGTTGTTCCTACTGAGACTTGAACCTCGTACGCATCGCTTCAAACACCGTGATGTTATCCACTAGGCCACGGAGGCATGACGGCAATATCCTGTACAACGGGTATTAGTTAGCACTGTTTTTTGATACGCTTTTAGCTCTCCATTATTTTACAACCAAGTAACTAGCTAAATATCCAGGCATCCGCATAGAAGCTTACATACCAATAGAGATCAAACATTCCATGCAATAAAACAGCGCAGGATTGAAAGCATATCAATAAATATAAGTTGACATTTGATTATAAATCAAGGGATCCGTAAAAGAGAGTTACGCAATGTTTGAAATAGTAATGAGAAGAAAAGTTATCAAGACAGAACTAATACTTGGTTACTAAGTCAAATTATGTAACACGGTGAATGTAAAGAGGAATCAGAATCATAGGAGTGAAGGAATGTAATATGTGAGAAGATATGAATGAAAAGATTTTTGAAGGTAAAAATGTTCTTTTAGGTCATGCCCACTGCAACTCGAGTGATTGGACAAATATCTTTTGAATGCAGAATTCAGGCTTCAAAATATTCATTACTATAGCTACCTCAGTTTGAAGAAGTTTTAGGTGTAAGCATTTTATGAGACTTGCATGAACATTATAGATGAAACTAAAGTTGTTTTCTGCATTTACCAAGTGGTCATAATCGATCAAATGTTCTAGACTACAGCTATGAAGTGTCCTTCTTTTGCTTTTGTGGAACCAGAATGGCATATACTTGAGTACATCAAATATACCTTACTTCACAGGAGTAGGTGAATTGATAAACACACATCAAGGTGGCTAAATGAATTACCTCATCCTTCACGCATAAACGAGGCACTTGGTGAATGGAGAAAGTTAATCTGAGTTTGGTAGCATAGAAAATCCTACTTACTGAGCATGCCAGACGGTCTCTCAATATATCTGGTGAATTGTCTCCATTGAACTGTGAGCTCATGAAAAAAGGCTTCTAAGGAGCCGTAGAAGTGAAATGATTATTTACTTTCAGTTTCATAGTTTTAGCAATGAAACCCTCAGGATATTGGCTTTCAATTAAAATATTTTTGAAAAAATTAAGTTCATCTTCTAAAAAGTATCAAGACTACACATAATGTGAATTCTATGGTACATAGAGAGAATTAGATTTCATTTGTTGCAAAGAGGCACCTAACATGGTAGCGTCAACACTGCAGATGTCGTAGATTCTACAATACAATTAATAGATCAAATTTCGCTTTATATTCAGAAGTACTCAAAGTTAGAAGTTCGTCAGCTATCTGTTGTATTATTTTTTAAAAAACACTGCTCATATTAACAGTGGCTATCTATTAACTAATGAAAATGATACGTCTAATTCATCTGCGCATTCTTCTTTCGTTTAATTGTCAATTTATCTTGTAATCAATGGTTATTTTATCATGATAATAGTCACCATAATTTTTAGCATATTTCATTAGATGTTGTAAAACACTTTACTCAAACAGGTACTATTTTATGTTTACAATACAGGTATGTATAGATACGTTTATTTAAGGTTATATATATATATATATATATATATATATATATATATATATATATATATATATACGTGGGTGTGTATAGTTGAAACTTTATCTATGTGTGTATATGCTACTTTAAGAAAACTGCAATTTGGTTCTTCAGTTGTTGACAGGGTGTATAAAAAGCAGTCGACAAAATATGGCAGCCTATCATTTCACTTTATATATATATATATTGGAAAGTCTTAACTAAAGAAGACTACTTGGGGCTTAAATTTACCAAAATGGCAGTGTAAAAGACTGACTAATTCCTTTTTATGGATGATTTGAATAAAGGATTTCTGGAATTACATCAGTATGTGTGTAATTTCACTCAATAATAACTGATAATCAACTCATATTATGTTGTAATGTAATTCTAATTTCTACTGTCTAACAAGAGGAATTCTATTCAAAACGATATTGAAGTGAGAAGATAAATATGGTAATTACCAGTCGTTTGTTATACAGTTTATAATAGTAACATGTATAATAATGACTTGTAGAGTTTGTAGGAAATAAAATAGGATGATTTTGTATGGACTATTTTGTTTAGTTTTAGCTATTTGTTTGTGTAAACTTTACATTTGTCTACTCCAAAGTACTAAGTATATTCTGATGATCATTTTGAAATATAGTCATCAAGACAGGTGACTCCCTATCAACATACACTTTGATCGAAGTTGTAAAGTTGTAGCTGATCAGTAAAATTCATGTTGGATCCAGTTTTAATGCTTTCTGGTAGTAGTTAACATGGTATATATGCAACCTGGAACTCATTTTATTCAATTCTGCAGTTAGATATCTTACCACTCAGTTGTTGGCATCTTGCTGACAAATACTAACAAGTACCAGCAGCTTTTCTTGCTAAATATCTCCAACAACTTACCATCAAGTGATACATGTCTATATAAAACTACTTTACTCGTCAAAGAACAGATCATTCTGTTCAATGTCTTCTCTAGTAATAAGATAACCTGTTTTTCAAAGAAAAGATAAAGGGTGGTATTCTTGAGATGCACTCTATTACACAAACATGTATGCTGTTGGTATAGAACAAGAGTATTTTTCTTGATTGATTCTTAATTCTGAAGTCAACATTTACCAAGAACCGACTTCAATTGGAGAACCAATGAAAGGCTGACAGCACGTGACAGTTATTTCCTTCTAGCATTGGAATCAGCATTATACACCTATGACGCAGCCATGGACAGAATCCAAAACCTTCAAACCTTGTGGCGAATGCGTTAAACATTGATCCTTAGTTAAATAAAATAATGAGATTTACATGGAATCTACATTTTGGAAGTTTCTTGTATTCATCACATACTGATATCATGTAGAGAATCAATGAAAACCCGGATAGAAATAGACAGCTGTTTCGTTCCAGTATGTGATGAATATCACCTTAAAATCTAGATTTCATGTCAATGATAGCAATCTCAGATTACACTTCGTGATGTCAGAACATCAAAAAAGATAAGTTTAACTTCAAATTTTTCTTCCAGCGTATCATGAAAATTCTACCTATATGCATCAAGTACTTCTTTAATTTATTCATTCTTTTATACATTTACAAATCGATATAATAGTGTTTCTTAACTGGGTGTATCATACATCATCTAAACTTTCTCTACATTTTTTGCTGCGGCTTTGCATTTTAAAGTTTAAGACACTTCAAAAGATATCATAATGATGGATATTTTCTAAGAGTTGAATCTAAGATACTCATTTCATCCTATTTGGGACTCGTCGGCTGGATATATCTGCCTCCAAGTGGGTTTTGTCCCTACAGGGATTCAAACTCGAGACCAGGAGCTCCAAACACCAAAGCGTTGTTCTCTAGGCCACCAAGCCACGATAAACACTTCTTGTGTGATGGGTATAGTTTAAGTATTATTGCTTGGATTATACAGTCGTTGACTGGATCCAATTGATTGGTCTCTATTGGCATATGAGCTCCTCTATCGATGCCTCGATTCTGCCTGTGTTTTAATTATATATAGTATATATAATGACACAATATTTTTTTATTTTTTTCATTTGTCCTTTGGGTTCTTATTGTAACTTAGAGCTTCACTAGTACGTCGCTAACTCACTCTCGAATTTGCAGATTTTTTAACCGTACTCTATGACTACCTATAAGCTTTAATTTCTTCCTCACACAATCTCCTCCATGTCATCCTCACCTTGGATGCCAAACTTGTCCTTTCCCATTCCACTTCCACTCGATGACCTGGCATGACGCATCATGTCCCCAAACCGTATTCCTATGTGTGCCCAGTCAAATCCAATCCATCTCCACTCTCTTCCACTCCACATTTGTTGGGCGATGGGTTCTCGGTCGGTTCATTTACAGCCAGACAGCCAGCCAGCTAGCCAGCCAGCCAGTCACAGTTCCTTGTTCCAACTCCCTTGCTCATTATCATTATTCTGGCCATCTCATTCTCAGTATCGAGTCAGCGTAGGTGACAGTTGTTGATGAGTGTCTGTAGTTTGATGGGAGTGCTTCTCGTGACACGCCAAGTCTCTCAACCATCACATGGAAATACTGACTGACTTGACTGAATTGGTGTTGAAAATCCGGATGTTGTTCACGCCATATGCTGAGTTGAGTTGAGTGGAGTGCAGTGCAGTAGATCTCCACATTGATTACTTCAGATTGATGAAGGCCTATCTTTCCTATCCTGGCTGCTTTGACATCCTCATCTGTACTGCCACCAGTAGTTGAGAGGATGTTCGAAGTCAACTGTTATGATCTACTGAGCATGAGTTTTATGCATTTCGAAGATTGATAATGGAATACATTGCCAGTCACAGAGGTAATTAGTTAGCTATCTTGATTGTGAGCGTTATAAAGTATGAAACCTTCATTCCTACCTGACAGAAATCTCAAAATGAATAAGGAGGATTTCACTGTCATATGGCTTACTTTCATGACTACAAAATATTCTTGAACTGTACAACTTCTTTTAGTGCTTATAACTTCAACCATATTTAGTTCTCTATGAACTTTGATTTCATAGTGTATTTCTTCTATCTCCAGTGTTAAATTTCGGTATCAGTGATAGTGAGTACAACCAGCTAATCAACTATTTTATATAAATTTCAGTTTACTACTTCCGAAACATACAAAAAAGTAGATAAATAAAATTAATTTATCAAAAATCTTTACTAATCCCAGTTTTATTCATACCACATATTGAACATATGCTCTGCTATTTTCCCACATTCATGTTCAGAATGGAGATTCAAAGGTATTTTTTTTGGAATGCTTCCAAAACTTCAGCTGATTGACTTTCATTTAACTCTGAATATCATCATTTCTTACAGCACTGTAAGGAAAGAATTTAGCTACTGTTACACTGAGTTCAATTTCATATACAAAACTTTTATTTGAGATGAAGTCGATCTGATTTTTAGTGTAGTGTGTCTATCTGGTGAAATCAAATCCATATCGCTTCATGGATATCCTTGTGCTTGAACACACTACCTGACTCCAATCAACAAATCGTTGAATGCACAGAATTCTGCAAACAATTCTACATTCTCATTCATCACCTCACCGAGAGCTTCTCGACTCATGATTAGTTCTCTTTCTGTGTTGTCCCCTCCCAGTTTGGCATTCATGTCGCCCATTAGAATGGATTCTGTTGTCACCATCTGTGGTGGGGCCTTGTCCAGTATTGATTGCAGTTGTCTGTAGAATTCCTCCTTTTTCCCTTGCTCTGCATTATTTGTAGATGCGTGGCGTAGCATTGAATGATTGTGACTTTCCTTCCTTTTGAGTTGAACCTTGCTGTTATGATCTCGCATAGACTGGTAGAAAATTTCTAACTGAAAATTATTTAGAGTTCAGTTTATTGTACATAAATATACTGAGATGATTATATAACTTTCTGACTTAGTGTATTGATTTCAATAGCTACGAATCATCTTTAATACACCTATTGTCTATTGATATGGTAAACGGAGATTCAGCAATCAACTTCTTCATAAATAAGTGAGCTTAGACTTAGGTAGGAGGTGATCATTCAATGTTAGGCGAATTCACCGTACAAGTGTTGTTACAGTTATACTTGCAAGTAACTATATCTTCAACCAACTCAAACACTAAAATGTGAATTATTTGTCTGATTGTTTCATATGCTAAGATTGGTTTGTAAGATTTCAATCGTTTAGGCAAAGTACAATGGGAAATATCTAAACTATGGATAATTTATGCAGAGCTAAACGTAAAAATGAGTAGATAAACAAATTTTTTATCTGTCTCTTCATTATATTTCTTTCCATATGCTAAACCAGCTCACTTTGTTTTACCACCTTTCATCAACTGCAAACATCCTTCAATTGAAAGCAAGTATTAGTAGCAATAATGACATAGCATTCTTCAAATATGTGGAAATAAATGAAGATTCAAACTACAGGCTTAACAGTAAGGTAGTAACTCAAGGAAACACAGGATTAATAGTCATAAATGTGAGTCAAAATCAGTGGTAATTTGTTGTAGAGAGAGTGGGTTGGGACAATAAACAGACAAGAGTGTAAAAGAAGAGATTTGAAATGGTGGAGAATATTTGGAGCTCACGTGGATGATCTTGGTTGTATTTTGTGTTCTCTGATCTGGGTTGTTTATTTGTGGAGCTTTCATCGTCTTTGTAAACGACACCATCAGTACTAACTTCCGTTTGAAGTCATACTGAAGTTAGTACTGATGATATCGTCTAGAAAGAGGATGAAAGCTCGACAAATAAACAACCCAGATCGGAGAATACAATACAGCCAAAGGAAGGAATTATTTAAGAGCTATTGGGTCACGTAATTACATGAAAAAACTAAAAAGGACTTTGGGCTGAGTGATTAACAGTCAGTAAGTGATTAATGAAGAGATGATGTAATATAAAGAGGAAATGTATACATTCATATGCAAACAACTACATACAGTTATCAGGGTAGATAAGGGTTAGTTATAGTCTCTTTCTACGTACACAGGTCAGGCCGAAGATACTTGATGCGAGAAGCTTCCACAAACCATAATAAATATGGCACTGTTTGTTGATTATGATGAAGGATTGATAAACATCTAGTTAATATCGTGTTTCCATTAGGTGTGTAGCAGTTGCACTGGTAAAGACATTGCTACATTTCAAACACAGATTTCTCAGGATGTGTTCATAACATCAAGTTTACAGCCTTCCTATTGTCTTATCAGCCTTGTATTCTAGATGAAGAGAAATAGGTTTTTTCTCAGCAGTTGGGCCATTGGATCTATCAATAAATTCCTTTCCATGCTTCACGATGAATTGTTTCTGATATCCATCCCCTATTAGAGATTCCTGAAGGATACTGAATTCTTCTTCCTATTTGTTTTTTGAGCATAGGGTTCTTATTATAGTGAATACCATTGCGACTGAACCACACTTACAGATGACAGGATAGAAACTA